AGTCTAAGGAGCTTGTGCGTTGCAGGCTTCTTCTGAAGTGCACCTTGCAGGCTGCTCTGTCCAGAGACCTTCCTCAGATTTGAGCCCTTTCCAGCCTGGGTGGTGGATAGCTTTGTAGCTGTGCTACCCAGCCCTAGAGTGTGTGGCCAGAAGAGATGCTAGGTAGAGAGGCACATGCTCATGGAGACATAAATGTATGTGTAACTGAAATAATGTTTAAACTCCATGAGTAGGAAGGGAATATCCTCAAGCCTAAAAACTTACTGGCACTAAGAAAACCGAGACCTTTTGAGCACAGAAGCTGGGAACTAGTCCTCAAAGCAAGGTTTTCCTTTCCAAGTAGGTGAGTCACACAGAGAAGTAATTGGCAGAGAATGAAGAAAGTAGTTACTTAGGCTCAGCCATGGTGGCATTACAGCCCAGGACACTAGGCCTAGGACGAGGTGGCCAGGGACACCATGTTTGACAGGAATTATGGTACTTATAAGAAGTATGTATCCTTTATTAAAAGAATGGACTCTTCCTTTAAAAACCTATTTGGACAAGTGGACAAGTATGGTGCATAGTAATCTGGAAGCCCAGGGGTCATTTGAGACTTTTTTCTGCTTCCCTCCACAAGCCTAATTCATCGCCAAGTCCTGTGATTCCACTTTGTAGATTATCTGTGACATCCACACCCAAAGCTTTGACCTGAATTGGTATTTTAACATATATTTTAATCATTTCTTTCCCAGAATATGGCAGCAGCCTCTTAGTTGACTGTTCTGTCTCCTGTTTGCCCTCTTATCTGTCTCCCACAGAGCCTCTAGGAAGATTTTTCTGAAACACAAATAGGATCATGTCAGGATCCTTCAGCACTGCCCTGTCCCTAGCTCCCCTACCCCCTGCTCTCCCGCCCCACCTGACCCTCACTCTCCTCCCTGCCTGTAGCTCCTGTCCCCACCCTGTCTTTGCCGCTGCCTGGAATATGCTTCTTCCCTCGTCCACTGAGTAAACCCCTGTTAGGAGGCCCAGACCAAATGTCTTCTCTGTCACACCTTCTCCAGCCTTCTCCTGCATATCCATCAAGGGGGCGAGGCTTCTCAGCCACGCCTGGAGTGTAGTCTCAACCATGGTACGTTGCATACTGGATTTCTGAGTCTAATGTCCCTCTCACCCCAGAGTAAGCAGGAAAATGGAGATCACAGTTAGTTTATCTCTGCAGGCCTAGCTCCTGGGAGGGTGCTAGGCACATAGGAGTTAAATAAGTGTGTGTTGATTGCCTGATTATAGGAGATAGAAATGAGAGGATGGGGACTTAGTCCACGGAAGAAGCAAAGGGCTGGGAGAGTGGTTTATCTCGTATCTTTTATCAGCAGAAGCTCGTAATGTGTTCTGGCTGTAGTCTTGACTGAGGACAGCCTGCTGCGGAAAGCCCTCGCTTCTCCTATCCTCTGATCTTATCCATCGGAGAAATATGGTTGGCCTGGCTGTGAAATGAACACCTGCTTCTGTGTACAGCCCTCACCCCAGTTACCTGAAAAACCACTAATTTATTTACATTTTTAATAAATGTAGCCACAGATACCATGAAAAGTCACCCCTCCCTCCTTCCACCATCCCCAGCTACTTACCAGCCTTTGTGCAGTTTCCAGTGGCAGTTCTTTTTCTATAGGTTCTTCACCATTACTGAGTAATCAATCGCTTCATCCGACTCAGAGCCGGGTTTTCCAGAGTCACATGCTACATTCTTCCTAATGTCCCACGTGGTCCATCTTCTTTGCTGGTGCGTTCCTCGCTGCACTGCTCTCGCCCGAGGGAGGGACCAGCGCCCTCAGCCATTGCTTCCTCCCTGCACCGAGCTTGCTCTCATCAAACTGCTGGATGATGGGAGAAGCAGCTTCACCCAACAGGACCTCAGTCTCGTGGCAAAAACATACTTAAAAAAAATACTGAGTTACTGGAAGATGGGAACAATGGAAGCATACAGGGGAGCTTGACAAATGAGTTGAGGAAGTCCCCCGGGAGGAGGTGACATTGGAGCTGGGCCTTGAAAAGTAAGCAGGTGTCCTCAAGGAAGAGTGGGGCATTCGAGGCAGAGGACATGGCAGAAGTAAAGGCCTGTGGGTATGAAAAGGCATGGCAGGCCTGAGAGAGTAAGGATTGGTGTGGCTGGGGGAGGGAGATTCCTGACTCTATGGGGCCTGCTTCTGAACTGAGGCTTGGTGGGAGCTGCGAGTGCTCCCTGCAGCTGCTCCCGGGGCCCCGCTCTGCCCCACAGGTGCTCCCACGGCTGAGCGAGGTTCCCAGGGCTGTTGGCACTCCCACCCACTCCCACCCGCTCAGGCGGGTGGCATCCCAGAAGGAAAGAGGCAGGGGAGGAAGCAGATAAGAAAGACAGCTTCTGTTTAGACACAAATATCTTGGTAATCAGCACAGATGGGATGAGAAATACCAAAAAAAGTACATGACAGTTTAGAGAGAATTTGGCTAAATGTTACATATTTTTAACATACCTGTGTAGAGTTTTTGGAACAAGCACCTGAGTCGCTCAGAATCTGATTGGAGATGGGGAACATGCCTCAATCAAATGGTGTTTTTATTTCAGAAATGTTCCCTTCTCCATCCACAAAAGTATCCTTGTGGTTTTTTTTTTTCTCCCACCAAAATAAGGCGCAGGATTTGTCTCTGACGCTGTGTCTCCCTATTTGGACGGCAAGCTGTGTAACATATTTCTCCCCAGCGTGAAGCTTCTTGGCAGACTCTTGAGGCCACGTTTTGGTGGCTTCAGAGTTATCTTTGGATCTGTCAAAAGTGCTAATGGGCTTTCTGGCCTTCTTTAAGCTCCTCATTTCTATTTTCTTTTTACTTCCATCCTCTCCTAAAAGAAAAATTCATGTAATTCATCAGCAGTTAAGCTTTTTACCGAAATGCTCAGTGAAGGGCCTCGTATTTTTGTTTGTGAGGAGAGCTGTGCCATGTCACCATCTTCAGAGCAAACCCCACCCTTACATCATTAGCTCTGCGTTCCTCCGTCCAGTGGAGGAACCAAGATGCACTGGGTGACTCCTTCTGACTGCCTTTGGTGTTTGCTATTTTGTTTTTCACTGAGTTTGTTAAGAGGCAAGTTGGTGTGATGGTTAGGGTATGAGTTTCGGATTGAGGAGATGTAGTTTTGAAACATGGCTGTGCCCTTTCTAGCTGGGTGACCTTTAGAAGTCTACTGAGACTTCCTGACGCTCAGTTTTTTTTTTTTTTTCCTCATCTGTAAAATGGAGATGATAATGCCTGTCTCAGGCTTTTTGGGAAGATTGGAAAGAACACCTGTTGCCTGCCACATACAGATCACTCCATGAATGGGGTAACAGTAACTTTTAACAGAAGCATTTCCCTTTCTTTAGGCATACTTGATCTTGTTTTGTTTCTTTTTCCAAATATGAGTTTTACCTATAATTTTGTGTGGAATACAAAGAGCCTGGATTTAGAGACAGACCCACTCAGTACTGAATCATGTCACATCCACTTACCTCATGACCTTTGTCAAATTACACAACTTCTCTGTGCCACTGTTTTCTCATCTTTATAGAGGGATAATAATACTTAGTTCAAGGAGCAGTTTGAAGATTAAGTGAAATGTTTAATAATAGATGTGAACCTTTCCCATGATGGATGTGCGTAAGAGGGACAATGTGATGTAAGGGAAAGCGTATAGGCCGTGGAGTCAGATCTGCCAGTTACTGACCTCTCCCAGACTTCTTTATATTGGAAAGAATAACGCCTCACTGGATTTTTGTGAAGATTGCACAATTACACATCCACAGTGTCTGGTACAGTGGCTGGCACTTGAGAGGGAGGTAGTATATAGAGCTATTAATTCAGTTGCTCTGTATTTATAAAGGTTGATGGTTAACCTGGTACTTCGGTCAAACAATGATAAATTATAAGATAAGTGCTCAGTTTTACTCCCAGCCCGTAACATTGTTGAAAAGCACTTTATGCTATTTTGCATGTAAAATCCACCTGGTTTACTTCAATTTATGGGTTATAGATCTTTAATCGTTATAAACTGCAACCCCTGGCAATAGCATTCCTTCCCTCCCCAACCCCTTTCATTTTCAGAGGATTATATTGTGTGGCATTGAAAACCTGTAACATTGAAGAAATTAGCATATTCATGTGTATTGTTAAAGTCAGGTGGGTATAGAATGCATTGTATAAATGAAACACATTCCATTTTTTTTCTGAAATCTGAAGAGTACCAATCTATAGTACTAATTAAAAGAATGAAGCCCAGGCTACAGGGGGGAAAAAAGCTAGTTAAAACACTGCTTTGTCACAACTTGCTGCTGTTTGTCTTCAGTTTTTTTTTCCCCCTTTTGAATGAAATACCTGGAAATTGTAAATGTTCAAAATTGCCTTAATTCCAGCTGAGCCGTTTTAGCGAATGTAAACTGTGAAGGAGGGGATACCAGCAGTGATGACAGGAGAGGAGCTCGCCTGGCCTTCGTGGGTGGCATCTCCTGGACAGAAACGGGCTCAGTGCCAGAAGCATTTTGGTCCCTGGGTACTTTGTTTTGCTTAGGCGTATGGCACAGCACATCGGGAAGGTTCTAGGATCTGGGGCCCAAAGATTTGAGCAGCAGTCCTGTCTTCATTGCTTATTAGACTGTTCCATCTTGGAGAATCTCTCTGAGTCTTGGTATCCTCATTTGTAAGATACATGTAGAATTCCTGTTCTGCTCACCTTTAGGAACTGACCTAAGTGCTGTATGCAACCTCATGTTGTAATCACCACACAAAGATGTAATTGCTCAGGCTCCTTCCTCTCTAAGGTGTCTTCCAACTTTACTGTTCATGATTTTACACATGAGGGGATTTGGCCTCCGGGCTAGAAAGAAAAGGACAGGGAAAGAAGAAAGTATACTTTCTGATTATTTTCTGTTTCTAATGCTCTTATTAGATACTGTTATAATAAGAAGAAACAAAATCAGCCACAAACCGTGCCTTCTTCTTTCTCCTAGAGAAATCTGACAGAATATTTTGTGGCTGTGGATGTCAACAACATGTTGCATCTGTACGCCAGTATGCTGTACGAACGCCGGATACTCATCATTTGCAGCAAACTCAGCACTGTGAGTAGACAGTCTTAAGACTGACTTTGTAATGATCTAATTTTAATTGAAAGATACATCGGCAAGATGAAAGAAGATTTTAGGAAAAGGAGTCAGCTACAGTCCCTTTATATGGCAGCATGTCATTTTCATTAATTGTTCATTTTTTTTACAGTGCCAATGCACATTTCATTTATTCCTGTAGTCTCACAATTATAAATAGCTTTCCATTTGATTGAGTGTTATGAACATGTTGCAGATTTCTACATGAGCTTCGATTATTGTCATTTTTTAATGTCTACACCATATTTATGATACAGATGTGTCATTATTTACTATATCATTCTTCTCTTGATGGCCATTTAGGTTGTTCATTATGATTTAATCCTTTTAGTAGATAATACTGCAGTGAACATCTTTTGGCTTCTTTTGCCTGTTGCAGTTATATTCCAAGGAGTGGGACACCAGGTCACAGGACTTGATAAGCACTATTATTTAGGGACTGCCAAATTGCTTCCCAAACGGGCGGTGCTTGTTTACAGTGAAGGCTGCCAGCTGTAGATGAGTGCACCATTTTCACGGCAGCTTTGCCAGGAAAGAGAGAGAGTGTGCGTGCATGTGCTCAGGTGTTTTAATTCTGCTAAGAAAGTAGATATGTTATGGTATTTCAGGCTTGCTTTAATTTTAGAATTACATCTTTGGTTAGAGGTAACTGAATATTTTCCATGGGTTTATTTTTTTATTTGTATTTTGTTAATATCCTTTCACATTTATTTTACAGGTGTCTTGATTTTTTTTGTAAGTTATAATGAACTTTCTATATAACTTTTGCTGTGTGTATAATATAAATATTTTTATATTCCTTTTATTTTAGTTTTTCACTTGCTAAGTATAAGAGTTCACATTTTCCCCAATAGTTTTGATGAAAATTCTTAAGCTATTATAGAAAGTTGAAATAATTTTACAGTGATTGCTGATATACTTCCATCTAAATTCTACTAGTGACATTGTGCCAGTTGCTTTATCATGTATTTATTCAACTATTCATCATCCATAGCATCCATTAGTCCATCTTTTTTTTTCTTTTTTTGAGACAGAGTCTCACTCTATCACCCAGCCTGGAGTTCAGTGGCGCTGTCTCGGCTCACTGCAACCTCCACCTCCCAGGTTCAAGTAATTCTGTTGCCTCAGTCACCCAAGTAGTTGGGATCACAGGCACGCACCACCACACCCAGGTAATGTTTGTGTTTTTAGTAGAGATGGGGTTTTGCCATGTTGACCAGGCTGGTCTTGAACTCTTGACCTCAAGTGATCCACCCACCTCAGCCTCCCAAAGTGCTGGGATTGCAGGTGATCCATCTTATTTTTTATGCATTTCAAAGTAAATCACAGGCATCACTTTACTTTCGCCTAAATAATTCAATATCCGTTTGCTGGGTTTATTGTTGTTTTTGTAGACAAAACTTATATACAGAAAGTGCCTGGAGGTAGAATGCCTAATAGGCATCCCTCTGTTAGAGAGAGTAGAAAAATATTTTCATAAGCAGAGAGTTCCCTAATGAAGGGCCTGTGGATAAAGTCAGTTACGTGTTTACCTGTGAATAAAAGGCACCTAATAATGAAAACTCTCTGAGACTACTAGAGTTTTCCTTATGGTTTTTATTATACCTTCATCATTTTATTATTTCTTTGGTTATTGATTACTTATCAAGAACTCAGTTTTTTGTTTGTTTGTTTTTTATTGCCCACTATGTGTTAAGAATAGCCTATAGTCGACCTCTTGCTTTGTTTTACATTTTATTTTACACCATACGTGCAGTTCATAATTTCAGGGCACAGACACCCAGACTGTTTCAGAATGAGAATATTGTCAACCACATCAATCATCACCTCTTTAAAAGAGTCTAGTCCATAACCAGTTACTGTTGCTTTAGATTGTTAAATTTCAGTCAACAAAAACGTGACATCATCTCAGTGGAACTGAATTCCCTATCATTTAATCATGATGTTTTTGATCCCTGACTGTGTGCCATGCACTGTCCTAAACACTTTTCATGTATTAACTCATTTAATCCTTAATACAACAGCCTTAGTGGGTTCTGTAATTACTTCCATCTTATACGTAAGGTAGAATGAACCTTCTGTGTGATTTTGCTCTCATCAATGTAGTGGATTAAACACACACAGTTATTTCTGCTTTCTCCCAAAACTAAAATGAAATAAAGGAATAAATCTACAAACACAAAGAACAGATGCAGCAGAAATTTTTAAAATAATAAGAAAATACTGTTAGCAACTTTATGCCAGCATTTGAAAACTAAGGCAAAACAGAAAAAAATAATTTAGCAAAGTTGACTCCAGAAGAAATAGAAAAATTAAATAGGTTATTTAACTTACAGAAATTGAATCAATATCTTTACATATTTTTCCAGATAAAACACTCATCCCAGGTGGTTTTACAAGTGTGTTTTATCAAACATCTCAAGGAAAAGATTATTTCAATCTTAGACAAACTCCTTAAGAGTCTAGAACAAGAGGGAATGAAACCCAGCTTTTCCTGCGACACTTGTATAACCTTGACATTCAACACAGAGATAGCACAAGAAAGAAAAATCAGCGGCCAATGTCACTGATTAATGTAGGGGTAAAAATCCTCAAATAGGAAGCAAATGATTGATGATACTAGAAAATCTATTAATATAACTTACATATTAACATATTAAATGGGAAAACTTTTATGGTCCTCAATAGAGGGACAGAAAGCACTACCATGTTCATGAATAAGAAGACTTAATATCTTGAAGATTTTATTTCATTTCAAAATGATGTATAGATTGTATACAATTTTGTTCAAACCCCCCATAGGGTTTTACATAGTGCCTGACAAGCTAATTCTAAAATTAATATGGAAAAGCCGGAGAAAGAGCCACAACATACTTGACAAAAAAGAATGGGTTGTGGAAGCTTGCTTTACCAGATATCAAAACTTTCTATAAAGTTGTAGTAATTACGATGCTAGTACTGGGATGAGGATACACATATGGGCTGATGGAACAGAATAGAGAGCCCAAAAACAGATCACATGTATATGGGCTCTTTATATCATAAAAGGTGGCATTGCAGAATCTCTGGGGAATCAATGGACTTTTCAATAATTGGCTGTCCACATGGGAAAAAAAAGGACGGCAGTTTCTATTGTACACACACAAAAATAAATTCCAAATGGATTAATAACTTAAATGTGAAAGGCAAAATTTAAAAACATTTAGAAGACAAAATAGAATACTCCTTGATGATCTTTGGAGTAGAGAAAGGCTTATTTAAAGATGGTCCAAAATATACATTGTATAAAATAAAATATTAAAATTGTGAACTTTTATTCATTAAAAGATACTTTTCTGTGAAAATGACTGAAAAGTCACAAGCTGAGATTTGCCGTATAGAAAAACTGACAGAAAATTAGTATAGGAAATAAGTACAGAACTATGACAATTAAAAAAGACAAACCTGTCACTAGAAAAATTGGCAAAAGGCATGAATTAGCATTTCACAGAAGAAATACAAATGGCCAACATCTATATGGAAAGATAGTCAATCACATTAGTAATCATCAAAAAGCACATTAAAACTACAGTGATTATGGCTGGGCACAGTGACTTACACCTGTAATCCCAACATTTTGGGAGGCCAAGGTGGCAGGATTGCTTAAGGCCAGGAGTTCAAGACCAGCCTGGGCAACATAGTGAGAGCCCTGTCTCTACAAAGAAAATTAAAAATCAGCGTGGTAGAATGTGCCTGTACTCCTAGCTACCTGGGATGCTGAGGCGGGGAAGATCAGTTGAGCCCAGGATCATGGCTTTGCAGTAAGCTATGATCATACCACTTCACTCCAGCCTGGACAACAGAGTGAGACCTTGTCTCTTAAAAAAACAATCAAAACCAACAGTGAAACCCTAGGTTTGCAAAAAATTTGGTGGCTGACAAAGCCGGGTGTTATATTGGAAATGTATTAGAGAATGTCGTTTACTACTGTTTGAAAGGTTTGTGCTACAAAACTATTTACGTATGCCCATCACTCAGCAATTCTACTCCTAGGTGGAATTTTATGTGTATACACAAACCCCTTGGTCATGTATGGTGGGATACATGTACAAAAATGTTCACAGGGGCTTTTTTTGGGTTTTATTTAAATCCTGGAAATAGTTCTCATGACTACCAAGAGAACTGATAGACTGTGGTGTAGTCACACAGTGGAATATCGATCGGATCAATGAAATGAACTGTACTGTCAATATGATTATGATTCTAATGTAGAAGCTGAGTGAGGAACTGGGTTGCACAAGGATATACTGTACAGTATGATTTCATTAATATAAAGTTCAAGCTAGAAAAGCTAAATGGTATCTTGTTTGGGATTCACACAAACTACAAAGGTAAAAAGAAATAGTTAACACAAAATTTAGGTAATGGTTTCCTCACAGGAAGAGAAAAGACTGGTTTGGGAAGGGTCATGCAACGGACATCAAAAGTTTTGCTTTCTGTCTTAAGCCAGGTGAGGAACCAACACATTTTGCTATAAAGGGCCAAATAATAAATATGCCTTTGCAGGTCATATGATCTTTGTTGCCACTGCTGGGCTCCGACCTTGTAGTTGACCAGAGTTAAACTAATGTGTGTGATTGTGTGCCAACAAAGCTTTATTGCCAAAAACAGGCAGCAGGCCAGGCTATGCCTTTTCGCTGTAGTTTGCTGACCCCTGAGCCAGGTGATAGGTTTGGGGTTCTTACATTTTTTTTTCTTTAAAAGTTGTTTATATGACATACATACTTAATATATTTCAAAAATTTTTAGAGGCCTAAAAAGAAGGTACAAAGCCCCTTTTTCATGAAATTTTAGAATATCAGAGATAGAGACAAAGCAGTTCTTGTACAAAGATTAAGAATCAACATTGCCTGAGATTTGGCAGTGGCAGTTCTGGAAACCAGAAGACAGTGAAGCAGTGTCTTGACCTTCTAAGGGAA